TTGCGAAATGCCCAATTGTTGCGTCCTCAAACAGAATTATTTGCAACTTAACAGCGAATTTAAACCGATACAGGTAAAATAAACTCATTTATAGTATAAACTTACTATTTTTATTTGTATACACGTCTAGAAAATCGGGTTTTTTATCATAAAGTTTGAAGCAACACTATTATTATGTTGACAAGGTGAAGCGAAAGCACAAAATAATAATTCTTTTATTCGCAAGACAATCTACTGTTTTGCTTTGAATAACTATATTTGCGAATTGGGAATGAGGATTTTGAAATTATTGTTCAAATATTACGGATATACCATTTGTAAACAATGTACGTTTTTATATACAGTACTGTACGGGCTAATAATATATGTATCCGTTTTATTTAATAAATTATAATTGTATATGTGTTTGTATATTTTACAAACACAAGACTGCTTCTTGCCAAACTGATTGAGAAAATATATATTAATGTAGTTGTGTATAAGACAAAATTTCATGAAAGATTCTACTTTTGGTATATATTTTGACTCATTTTGTGCTTTCGCTACACCTTGTCAACATATTAAATAATAGTGTTGCTTCGAACTTTTATGATAAAAAACCCGATTTTCTAGATGTATATACCAATAAAAATAGTAAGTTTATACTATAAATGAGTTTATTTTACCTGTATCGGTTTAAATTCGCCGTTAAGTTGCAAATAATTCTGTTTGACAACGCAATAATTGGGCATTTCGCAACCAGGGCAGTTTCAGGGCAGTTTTGGCCTTGCTGTTGGGAAATCCACTAGGCCTTCTAGGCTTGCTTCCTCCGCCCCGCCCCCAAATCACCTAGTCCCAGTCTTTTCATGTGAAAAAGCGCTGAATATTAAAAATATATAAATAAGACTAGAAGGCCTAGGTCTAGGCTGGCATACAGTGTAATATTCTAAATATTCTGTGATGTCGAACCACAGGCGGCCCAATCTCTGAACGTCCTATATATTTTGAATATTTAACCGTTATAATATTTTAAGATAACAAAATAATTAAAAAAATATTAACAATATATGTAAAAAATATATCTCACTTGTTAATAGAATCCATTTGTTGTGTTTCTGAGTTTAGTTGATGCGATTGCTTTACGTTTTCGTCGTACTTGAACGGTCGTCAGTACTGGCACTGAACAACATGGCCATACTAGGACATAAATAACTACAAGGCTAGCTACTTATCTGATATACTCTCCGACATCGAGTCCAATATCTCGCCTCAGAATCGTCGCAGAGCAATAAATTTCACATCGTCTAATAGCACGAACGTTCCTCTTTCGAAAGAACTTGGTTTCTTCACCATTGCGGCAATTCCCGCGACACACGACGAACTTTGTGTGTCAAAAGTCCAAATTTCCATTTTCGACAGACGCGCTAACCCCATGATCGTCGCCGAGTGTATCTAAAAGTCGAGGGTCGAGAGTCGAGAGTAAAGGTCGAGAGTCGAGAGTAAAAGTCGAGAGTCGAGAGTAAAAGTCGAGAGTCGAGAGTAAAAGTCGAGAGTCGAGAGTAAAAAGTCGAGAGTCGATCGAGAGTAAAAAGTCGAGAGTCGGCAAATGTCATCAGAAACAACAAAGTCAAAATATTTTTAACACAATATATAACCGATCCGTAACAACAGCTGATTATAGCCGTACGGGCGGGAGGGGGGGGGGGAGGCAGTCCCGCCCCCCAGTCAAAATAAAGTCATGCAAATTATAAACGTATAAATTCGGGCAAAAATTGGGGGAAATAAATTTAAAA